TTTTAAATAGTTCTATGTAGCATTATCATCACTTTGACCTTTGGATTAATCTATTGATCTTGAAGATAAGGTCAGAGGTCAAATATGACATATTTTAAATCTTTATATGATACTTTCTCTACATTGACAATACACACCACACTTAAGAATTATAGTTTCTAATTTATTAGGCTTTTTGTCAGTTTTTCACCAATAAAGTTCACCTTCAAGACCTCAGTGGATCTAAGCCAAATTTTAAAGGATTGTTAACATCACCCCACGCTGGACTTTTACAAAGTTTTATCAGCGATCATTCAAAACCTTATGAGATTTTATATTTACAGACAGAATAACAGACATACACAGAGGAGGAAGGAGGAATTCTCTTAAGGAATCTCTGAGAAACACAAATTTAATGCCAATCTTTTCATGTATAATTGTGTCAGTAGCATTGTTGAAAGGCCCTGAATACATTTTCACCACACAGATGTTGGACAGCAGTGTTCTTCATAAACATTTTATGAAGCTAGTCTAGTTGACTTCAGTGTGGGTCAAAAATACCTGCCTGTTCTGTTTGTGTCCCCCAGGAAAAACAAAAGCTGTGATAGCCATCAGTAAAGAGCTACTAAGTATGTGTAATATTGTTGCTGACAGGAGACACAAAGACATATTTACATTTTCTCTGTATCTTCATGAATACAACAAATTTAAAATTTGAAAAAACAAAACAATAAAATAAAACACCCGTGACAGATCTCACAAACAGACAGAAGCTTAGTCACCTTCTCTGCAATGGTCCTTCAGACACAACTCCAGGAATTTTACACGATTTTGTAGGTTGTCGTTCTGTTATAAAACAAACACACAAACAAAAAAAATCTCAGTGTACCCTGCAATCATGTTTCATTACATCATTTTTCGTGAAAACTCATACACTAAGTGTGATCTTTACCTGCTCTCTTACGATGTCCAACTCACGAGTCAGCTTTGTCATCTGTCTCTCCAGCTTCCTCAGTCTCTCATCTTTCTGTTCCTGAGAAGCAGAATTATCACCTCGAGGAGGCTCGGCTCCCTGCATCTGATCACTCTGGATCTCCTGAGGATGATAGCTGGTTTGGTCCTGTGATCTGTGGTTTGTTTGAAGTTTACTGGGTAAATCATTGTGAGGTTTGCTGGAGTCAGTCTGGGAATCTGGGTCATGTGCATCTGGAGGAAATAGATGATCTAAAATAAGAATCAGTCAAATGGTGGAATTCCTCAGAAGTGAATTATACTACATTTTTGACTCATAAATTCTGACCAAATGGCAGCCCCCACGTATGCCGTCATACATTATATGGTCAAAAGTACTGGGCCACCTACACATTAAGCTTACAGGCGGTGCTCAGCCATGCAAACATCTGCCATGAAACCCAGGGTCCACAGTGTTTGCGCTCAGAAGATGTTTGAAACTCTGCAGAGAGTTGGTGACTTTGACACATCATCAACCCCGTGGCTGAGTTGTTCGCAATAATGGGAAGTTAGTCAGTACATAGACCCCGTCACCGGGAACATCAAATCATCTGCTAAAAACCTTGGTAGGCCTCACTCCACCACTGGCTGTGAGAGTTTCACATACTCTGGCTTCATATATTCACATATTTCTCAGGGCTACTGGGTAACTGGTGATCGGCGTGATTGTGAATGGCTGTCTGTTTCTATACATTATGTCTTCAATCGACAGGTGACCGTTCCAGGATGTACCCCCGCCTTCCTATAAAAACTGTGACGGACGGAGAGATGGAACCCGCTCTTACCTCTAAGATTGCAGCTCCATGGGCGTCTTGGATATGCTTTCAATGAAATTTCTGCTGCCTTCAAATATCCCTGCATTTGAAAAAATACAGTCAGTACATAAAATATATGATGTATCTGTTACGTAGAATAATGGTATCTATTATGGATATACTGCATATACTTGGATATACTATCTGATGTTTTATTTGTAATTATGCACATGGTAAATCTAAGCTGACTTTATTTCCTGGTAGTATTTTCAGCAAAAGACAGTCTCCTTCGATTACAAGGTTTATAGGACAATACCTAGTGTTGTGTAAAATACTAACAGAGTACTGTAAATAAAAAAGTTCAGATGATGTCTCTCTATGTTCTCTGTGTGGAAGCAGATATGCAGTAAGCAAAGGAAACTCACACTAAATTTACTGCTTCTCTTCCCTAATGTGCTGCCAAGAGTGATGAGAACATCTTGAGGCAGTTCTAGGTTGATCCTGTTCTCATTTTCTATCGGAAAAACTGCAGCTTCTTGACAGTCCACAAAAAATACCAGTCTGTCAGGTTCCAGGCTCACAGCCAGATGACCCCACTGTTCACTTGCAAAAGGGTTTGTGTCCAGAAGGTTAATGCTGGCAAAGTCGTGCGCTCTTCCTTCAACCTGGTAGTCCACACGCACGGTGTTATTGACAGTGGAAGAGATGATCTGGAGAATAGGCGAAGATGCAGACGAAAGAGAAAAGATGGTGGCAGTGGATCGAGGCGCCTGGCGCCCCACCACATGAACACCCATGCTACCCTGAAGGTTGGAGTACAGGAAGTGAGAATATTCTGCGGAAAGTGTCAGGTGGGGTGCTCTGTTACGTAGTTTGTAGATCATGCCGCTGCTCGCACTTTTTCGGTGAGGTAGGTTTAGTGCTTCCACAAGATCAATTACTATAAAAGAAATAAGAGACACTGTCACATTCACATCCATATGACATGAGTTCAGGAGTAGAGTACTGTGATTTCTGGGTTATGATGATTGTGAAGCTTTGTGTGAGAGATCTACTGGTCAGTGACCTCAGTGACCTGAAACTAAGATCACCCTTATCTCATCTGTCTGCAATTTCAACTGATGACTCTCTTTAAATCTGATATCTGGTGCTTCAGGACCAGATAGAAATGGAACAAGACAATAAAAGCTTGTTTTGTTGTTCGTAGATGTAGATGTATTTATATTATGTTGAAGTATTGTGAAGTAGATGGACATGCATACAAGGTGAAAAGCAATCGCTGCTAGACGCACATTGTCCTTTTCAAATGTCAGATTTTGAACGTTTTTTAAAACTAAAACTATAGTTTATTTGAAAATTAACATTTAATATAAACACATGTGGGACTGGGCAAGAATGCACATTAAAAATCATTAATTACATGTCAGCTTTTGTATTGTGATTTTTTAAAGACATTACTATCAAGCTTAAGTATTTAAATACCAGGGTTTACTAAAACAAAAAACAACTCCCTACATACCATTCATAGCTCCACTGACTGTGAACAGATTAATTCACACTTAAAGTTATAATTTAAGAAAGTTCGATCAAAACAGTAAAATAAACAATCGATGACCCCTGTGACCCTGTGTGTTAACTTACCATTCTCGTTATCTGCAGACTGTCCGTGCAAGAAGAACACGAAGAGCAAATGTATCTCCAGCAGCACAACCGCTCTGAGTTTCATCTCCATTCTCCTCAGCCAAAAGAAAAAAAAAGCTCAAAATCAAAATACTTTACACAAATATAACAGCATTTATCGTCCCTTTAGCCATGGATCGTTGAGTTTAACGTTCAGTGTGTCACTGCTCCTCGTCAAGCAGACCTCTCCAAAAAGCTCTCAGGGGAAACGTGAAACATCTGGATCTAGTGTTGCCAGATATTGCAGATGGTTTCCAGCCCAAAAGTTATTCAAAACTCTTCAAAATATATAGATTCTATAGCCGAGTTTACGCTCCACTGTGCTGCTTAGCGTCGAAGAGGAATGAACACAGGCACGGCAGATACACATACTCACACATACAGAGACACACAAATGTGTGCGTGAGAGAGAGAGAGAGAGAGAGAGAGAGAGAGAGAGAGAGAGAGAGAGAGATTATTGCCAGAGTTCTGGACCACAGTTCCCGCCTATCACTTGAAAGCAACCCAAACAGCAACCCGTGTACATCATCAGTGCTGCACTCAGTGCATACGTACACTACGTATAGGAGTCCGTGCGCTTTATTCACCGTAAGCACCTTAACTGTAGGTAGGTCCCACTGCACCGTTGTGCGTGTGTGAGCGCGTGTGTGTTTGTACTCATGGTACTTGTTTCGAATTAACCCATAACATTTACATGTAAGAAACAACCGCCAAAAATGATCCCAAACACCCGAATTGTTGTTGTATCGTAATTTTAACCCGCACGATTAATCTTTAAAACCGCTTAACCGGGCGGAAACCCACCAGATCTTACAGCACTGCTGAGTCTCTCCTCTGCTGACACCGTCTTACATTCCCCCTTGGGCAGTTATTAAAAGGCAGTAGTGAAATTCTGTTCATTCACAACTTTTGTCAAGATATCACATGTTTTACATGAGAGGGGTCGAGGCCGCAGATATTCACGTAAGAGAAATGTTCAGGTGTGCAGAGTTCATCTAGTTTCTAGTACCAAAAAGACATCCGTGACGGCCTTTTCTTGTCTTGTTTTCCTTGTTTTTTCCTCGAAAAAACATCTCCACCCAGTGGAAACCCCTGTTTCTGGTAATCAGCTAAAACCTGGTATGGAGACTGGAAGGGAGCCATGCTGAAGCATCCCAAAATGTTTGTGTGTGTGTGTGTGTGAGAGAGAGAGAGAGAGAGTAAATGTGAGTGTTAATGTCTTACTGTTTTGGAAATAACCCCAGTTTGCATCCCACTGTGCCTATCCACCCACCCTCTGTCCCAGGAATCTATTTCCCTCATGTTGCTGACATGTTCATCACTGCAATGACTCTTGTTTTAGATTCTTTCTCATACAAATGTCATAATTCTTAGTTGTGAAACTTACAGGACAAATAAGACATGCTGTTTTATCTCAATGAAGAGATGACAGAACACCCATGTGATTCTTAATGGATGGAGTTGATGGGAGATTCTCTTATCAGGCCAAATTGCTTTCCATCCATCCATAACTACACAATTACTGTAGATCTGAACAAAGACCCACCCATCGTGCTAGTTAGATGGTTTTAATCAAAGCTATAAGTCCTCCATCCACCCCATCCCAGAGGAATTCCTCACTTAACTCCTAGAGGGTTGATTGTAGATGCAGGAACTCTTTCAAAGGAACTGCTGTTTCAATGTAACGCCAGAGTGGCATTTTGTTCTGTAACAATCATTGAGAAGCAAAAAGCTGCACTCACTATCACTTTATACAGTGGCTCTTTCCTTTTGGAAATGTGGTCTAGTTTCACAGTTAATCTGCAAATAATAATAATAATAATAATAATAATAATAAAAAAAAACCTGCCCAAAAATCTACCAACCCATAGCCCACAGCCCAAGAGAATAAAGGTGTATTCTTAACTGAACCCACATGGGGGCAAAAAAACAAAAAACACCAAAACATTCCCAGTTTTTAGTGACTGTTAATTCAAGTAAGGCTGTTACCCTTTCTGGAAAAAAGTCAGATGTTCACATTGTCAAGGTTAAACTACAGGAGGACTGCCGAGACACAGCTGGGGCAAGTTAACAGAGTAATGAAGGAATTTTGAACAGAATCACAACAATTTATGCAGAAACCTCTTCTGGGACCAGAACATGAACTCCAGGTTGAGTATACTATTCCAGTAAATCAGTCCTTAAAACCTTCCTTCCTTTTTTGTTTAGTCCTTCATTTCCTATTATGAAAATATCCATAATATAATAATTTTATAAGTATTATATTTGTTTGAAATTATCCTTCTGGCCAGCTCTGTCTTCAAAAAAAGACACAATCCTTTATGTAAATAAGTCTTTTTAAAGAACATATAAAAATTATTTTGTCAAAAAGTGATTGCCGCGTCTGCCCTGTGATAGAAATGTCATTTTTGGCTCAAAGTGGTTTGTTATTCATGAAAGATTTGTTTGAGAGATTATAGGTCAGCAAGTCATTTACAGCAGTTTAAATACTCCTGATGTGCCAAAAGTGATGTCTGGTATTTAAACTGTTGCACATTTTTTGTTGATCCATAATCTGTCAAACGTAACTCAGAAATATCTTTGATGTATTATCAAGCCAATTTGAACCAGAAACAATACTCCTGCGACAGTATAGAAGCTTCAACCAGGTTTTGGCAAAATGCTTTATTTATCAGGGTACAGCCTGTCACTGGCATTAAAAATGCCTTTTTCAAAACAGATCTGACCACCAGCCAACAGAAATCACAACATATAACACCACAATCTATAGTAATTGAACCAAAGAGGGCTGGATTGATTATAGCATGTACGATAATGCAGTATCATAAAGATACTTGCGGAATATCATTTCTTTATCGTATATATACACTGCTCATACTGATATCATGCTGATATTGACTGGGTAATTTTTAGGAACAAAATGATGCCACCTTGGTTGATGGAATTGAAAATGATCAATCTACAGACAGCTGAATACACCCTGAAGATCAAAGAGAAAAAAATGATTCAGCAGGCCAGTACATTTTGCTGAAGCTCTATTGCAGCAACTCAAAGTGGTGCTCAGTAGTTTGTATGGCTTCCACATGCTTGTATGCATAGAAGCATGATCCTAATAAAACAACAGACGGTCTCCTTGGGTATCTCCTCCCAGATCTGGACAGACTGAAGTGCATCCTGGTGCAGATGAATTGAAACATGTTGTCCCTGAGGTGCTCTGTAGATTTAGGTCAGGAGAGTGTGGGCCCAAACAATTATATCAATTCCTTCATCTTCCTTCAAAAGTGATTTCTGGTATTTAAACTGTTGCATATTATTTGTTGGTGCATAATCTGTCAAACATAGCTCAGAAATATCTTTCATGAATTATATCAAGCCATTTTGAGACAAAAACAATACTCCTGCCACAGTATAGAAGCTTCAACCAGGTTTTAGCAAAATGAATTTTATATATGCTTTATTTATCAGGGTAAAGCCTGTCAGGGTCTATGGATTTCAAAAGGATACCTAATTGCAGTCAGGGTGACGTTGCCTAGCCTGTAAAAGTCTGTGTGTCCATCCATGGGTATGCCTCCCCAGAGCATCATGAGTCACCACCAAACCGATCACACTGAATCATGTTGCAGACAGCACAATGTTCTCCACCGCTCCTCCAGATGGCTGGTCCACACATGGAGGACGAGACCATGACAAAAATGATGTTAGTGTCATTATGGGGGTGGCTGTAGCTCAGGTGGTAAAGCAGGTCATCTACTGATCGGAAGGTTGGTGGTTCGATCCCTGGCTTCCCCTAGTCTGCATGCCAAATATCCTTGGGCAAGATACTAACCCCAAATTGCTCTCCGATGCATCCATCGGAGTATGAATGTATGTATGTGAATGTTACTTAGAAAGCACTTAGAAAAATGTGCTTGTGCGAATGGGTTAATGTACAAGTTGTGTACAGCGCTTTGAGTGCTCAGAAAGAGTAGAAAAGCGCTATATAAGAACCAGTCCATTTACCATTATTTTTTAATGGCCGCTGTTTTTCTGTCGTTTAACTTCCATTTTTTTATTTGCTTCTCTGCTGACATCCAGTGGCCATCTCCAATTACAGCAGTTAAAATACAAGTTTTGTATGTAAAAATAGGGTTGTTGTTGCAGTCACACAGTGGAAGCTCCAACCCCCACAAAACACTAACCCTAACCCTACACTGAACAAATGGACAATATAAATTCACATTTATGCCATAGATGTAAGTATTTTTGCACTCTCCTTTTTCCTCCTCCTCTTCTTCCTTTTGTTTCATTTACAGTGTAAGCTGAGGAAGGTCAAGAAGTCTTATTTTTTGTTTTTTGTACAAATGTATTTGATAGAGTCTGTTCACAAAGTTTCTCTCTTGGAAAATGACTCATTTCAAAGTATGCAATACCTATTTTATCATATAATTGAATAAAAAAGTAATAGTATTGGGTCTTGAGCCGTTTTTTTTTAATTTTTGAGCCATTTACTTTAATTTGAGGTCCTTGTGCGCCGGTGGCTATTGCAATGGTAACGATGGTCCATTTGAAACTGAAGCTCTGGTGCATGTGCCCCCTCCCCCCAAAAAATAAAAAAATAAAAATCAGCACAGTGCTTCAGAAACATTGTGCCGAGGCTTGGTTCGTCTGAACAGAGTCAAGTGATCAATGACGTCCCAAGCTTCCAACCTTCATTTGGCACATCACTGCTTCAATACCTGATTCAGGGTTTATAAGGAAATGAATCATTGGCAGGATTTGTGCTGTTTTGGTGGTGATTTTGTGCAAGAGAGTGAACCAGTGTGTCACATAATTAGAGGCATGGAGCCAGGAAGGGAGGATGCTCTGCCTATTCTAAAAATAAAAAACAGTTCATCAGCAGTTCTGCTCGCAGGTCTAAAATTTAAATAAGAAATACACTAGACATATAATTAAAATCATAGTAGTATATTATATGTAAACCTACCAGTCCGCTGGTTAATTACATAAACACATAGAGGCAGGGACCTCACAGCACAAGCATATTCCCTATAAGATTGTTATATGTAGTGTATTCTTTTTATTAGTAAAAAACATCAAAAAGGCACAATCAAAA